TATATATATATTTGGTTTTAAAGACTTGTGAAATTAACAGGGACCTAGTGATTATATCAGACTTTATTTCTCACTGGTAACTCTACATTTCATCTCATTCTCTCTGATGACGCAGATATAAATATTGATGTGAAACCCCTTCCTAAAATACATCTGTCACTGTGCTGGGTCATCGGGGAAGGAAAAGCTTCAGATTTGGGTTGTGTCAAAGTCAGACCACAAAACTGATCAGAGGAGAGCGACACTGCCACCTGATGGTCGAGTTAGGCCTTAAAAAGAAAACACATTAAAGTGCCTGTGACATGTCTATCCATCAAATGCAAAAAGTCAAAGAAACCTTGCATAAAACTTGATTTTACACATCTTGTCACATAAATTGCATATTTTCTTTTGAACTTGGCTCAGCCAAAGTGAAACAGGAAGTGACATCCAAAGGGAACTCTTTAAGAAACAGAACTCTGTATTTGTTTTTTATTGTCAGAATATTATTTGAACTCTGACTCGTCTTCATCTCTCTTTGCTAGTTACTCAAAATAATCTAAAGAAACATCAAACATGGTATGCTTGTTTGTCTTTGTGTCTATGGTGTATAATGATGTGATTGTGATGCTGTATTTCTGAGTGTTTTATGTGCTGCAGAACAGGAACCTGCTGTAAAACAGCAATTATGCTGAGTCAGGCTTGATTTTTAGTAATCTTTTCCTGTTAAATCAATAAATCAAATCAAATCAATCAGATTCTTCTCCACAGTCTGTGTTGTTTGCTATTTTATCAATGCTTTGTTCCATGCAGGCATTCCCCTTTGACATCACTTCCTGTTATTTCACATGCAAATATCTCAACAATTGTTCATGTCAGCAGCGGGAGATTATTTTTGCAATATGCTAATAATGTTATCTTTCCAATATTGCCATTGCATTTTTTTTTAAATTTCATGTCACAGGCACTTTAATACTGCATTTCAGAACAAATTTGTAAAATCTGAGAAAAATAAGTTTATGAAACTTTTTAAATCTTAGGTCTTTACGAGAACAGCTAAACTCACCCAGCCAATCAAACCTGGTCTGAGTTCACAGAAGTATTTTAGATCAAAGTTTCCAATCCGAGGGTTCAGCTCGCGTCCGATGAAGAAGTCATACAAGGGATTTCCTACAACAAAAGAGAAGAAAATAAAAAGTATGTCACGTTAATTAAAACTTCATAACTTTGTGGATTTAGTGCTTGAAGACATATAGAGTAATAAAAAATTATAAAAATTAACAATTTACCCTACAAGTAGCTCCTAACAGTTCTAAAAGTAGCATTAGCACCTAGCAGCACGATTGTAGTGAGAAGTTTCTACTTTCTAATTGATAATTTTCATTCATTCATTCCTTGTGATTTTATGCATCACATAAATCAGATTCAGATTTATTTAAACCTCACATTAGGAACCAATTTCCAGGCCTCAGTGCAGCGGAACACAATGGAACAACAAAACAACCAATTAAATTAAAAACTAATAGACAAAAAAAGTTTGTTACATTTATAAAAACATCATTTCAGCAAGATTCATGAGCAGCGACAGTTCACAGCAGAGCTGTTGTGCAGAGGATCCAGCGTTTGTGGCTCAGGCATTCCCCTATGTGAACTCATGTAGGCTGAAAATTTACGATACAATAAACAATTTGTCTAAAGTGCAAAAAAACTGCTTTAATATACATTATGTACACCTTACATTTAACCCAGCACATAAATCTGATAAAATAACAAGGCTGTGGAAACTAAGCTGATATAGTGCTGCTGAATCTTTCTGTTGGTAAACTCATAAAAGTAATCCTTTCAGAGTTTTAGATGTTGTGTCACTCTCTGCCTTTCTGGATGCTTTCTGCCTGAGGATGAAGCAGAACATGGAGTAGCTGCTACAGCAGGGTCAGCTCACTTGAAAACACAGCCTCCACTGGAAGCCTGATGCCTGCAAGCTGCTGCAGAGCTTTACAGTTAACTAATTACCCAAAAGCATACTAAAACCCAGCACCTCCCGAAGCAGATATTCAAATACACAACAAGACGCCTGCAGCTGTTTTTATAACCCCCTGTTGTCATATTGATGCATTCTTTAATAACAAACTTGCATTTTCTCACCTGTGTTCCCCCCGAGAGCCAGAGCATGGGAAGGGGCCCAAAACGAGCGGATGTAGAGGTAGACGGAGAACAGGAACGACACTGATATGGCAGACGCCGCCAGAGGCAGGAGCAGCTCGAACAGATATCCGAGTGGCGCCTCCAGCCCCAGTAACAACATCAGCAACACGGTGCTGATGCACAAACTGTGGAAACCTCGGGGAGGGAAACAAATAAATCTAAATGTTACAGCCCAGGGGAAGAGATAAACAAACAGATGGGGGCCAGTATAAAAAAAAGTGAGTTAGCAAAGCTGAGAAATATCTAACTACAGAAAACTTTAGATCAGAGTAATGTGAACGAAGAATTTAATCTCTAAATATTGTAGGAAAGCTGTGAAAGATTGCAGCTACGTGTTCCTGTACTATAAATATTTCATACTTCAAATAGGACTATGGATAAAACCTGCTTGTTCAATTCATGCTAATTAAACTCTAAAAACAAAAGTACCATTTACTGATCAATCAAGCAGCCAAACTTGAACACAACATACCATTGATGGAGTATTTGAGACGCGTTCCATCCCTCAGCATTAACCCTTCAGATACCTGCAGGCAAATACACCCAGTCTCAACAAAAACAAATACTGTATCACTCAAACTATTAACAATCTGAGGAAACAAATCATATTACCTTCCAATTCACCCGCCTTTCCTACTGATGGTGGTCAGAGGTGGCGCCGGTGCATGGCAGCCCCACCTCTGTCAGTGTGCAACTGTGGCTACAATGTAGCTTACCATCATCAGTGTGTGAATGTGTGTGTGAACGGGTGAGTGTCTGCGCTTTTAACACATCCCTTTTTAAACACTGATAAGAACRACCATATTTATTCATGTATAATAMGATCTCACGTATAATACGATCATCATTTTTGAGCTTAAAAAGCGTAAAATATCCAATAACCCGTGTATAATACGACCCCCCTACTTTAAGGATGATTTTTATGGTTAAATTTATAGTATTATACATGAATAAACACAGTAAGTGTACAACTGACTAAAGCTGAAATAAATACAGAAATATTCTTAAAAATAAAACAAAGTTTTTCTCACTGATGAGTTTCTAGTGAGTAGCTAGTATGCATTATGGCAGATTTACTTTATGGTTGATGCCAACTTTAAAGC